CTGTACTCTAAGCTTAAAGAGAACACATTTCTGAATCACTGTCCCTTTCAGCATTATTAAAACTAGACTGGCATATGACATACTGCAGACTATAATTTTGATGTACAGTATTGTATTATAATTTAAGTAAACCTAGTTATACAGGTTAATAAATTATCTGACTTAGAATAATCATAACAATCATACTGTATAATTTATTAACACGTTCGAACGAACATTCCAAATTGAGATAAAAATTAGGGTAATCCATGTAAAAACGTTTGTCTAGGACTTAAGTGCCTTGAATAATGCAAATGAAATGAAGCTGTATAATATCTAGACTTCCAGTCGAATGGTCCTAGATTCAACTCTATGTAATGCCAGGATATTCTCTCGACAACAAAAACAATTCCACTCATCATTCATACTGGCACAAGATTTATTGTTTTTAGGCCAATGCCTCCTTTCAGGTTGTTTTTTTTTTTGCATTTTGATATTAAACTTTCCTTTGATCAAGGAATATTGGTATATTGCTTTTTAACGTTTGAATATTTTTATACAATAAATTCTACTTTTTATCAGTTTTGTATTTGTTGTTGGACTATGAGAATACAGTAATTAATTCACTAAAAAATACTTAAAGAAGAAGAAATTGTCACCTTGTACAGTAAAACGTCCATTTTACGTAACCCTTGGTACCAAGGCGTGTTGGTAAATTGAAAAATCAATAAATTAGATCGTGTGTCAGTTTCCAATACCTAGGCCTAGCTATCCCCTGCTATCGAGGGCTGATAGGCTGACGGCAGCTAGGCCTAGCACAAACCAACAACTGTGCAGCAGCGTGGTCTACCACGCTAGAGCCGGGGCTACTCAGTCTAGCTGAATTTACCTTCGATAAAAACCAAATTACTTTAATCGCTGGCATTCTTCCACATAAAATATTATTTTAACTCTTATTCAAACATCTGTATGTTTTACGGCAATTTCTATCATGTTCTTTCTAGTTGTTACATTGCCGAACTGTGTTGTTTAAATGCGTTTCGCGATGTCAATAATTTGCTGACTTCATCGTAAACATGTGAGCTCAATCCGACATTTGTGTTGGTAGTTCGTTGTTCTGGTTAGCTTTATTACATTAATATAGTGATTATTATAGAAGAAATAGAAAAAAGATGGAACTATTAATAAATAAATACAACAAACTTGATTTTATTAAGAAAAATATACATTATCACTTTGTAAAACGTGCGCAATTTGACTTTTTTTACGGTAATAATTGGTCGATGATGATTTCATCAGGGGCAAAGACCATTCGTAAAATCGACTATTCATAAAATCGACATTCGTAAAATGGATGTTTTACTGTATTTGTATTGCATTAAAAACTAGGTAAGAGTAAATACCGAGGGCTTTAATAGAATAACTCCTTCCTCAATTTCTGTTTGGGTACAATTTTTCACTGCCATGGTGAGGAAATGGTAGTATACTGCATGGTACCCACTCCTGGAGGAAGACTACACAATACAATAACATTGTGTATCTCAATGACTCAGGTGAAAAAAATCTGCATGGGGTTTGTCCACTCTGACATCAAGGTTGATTCTGAATCGACTGTAACTAACTGCTCCCACAGATGTAATAAACAAGTGAATGATAACATAAACAGTTTAACAAGGTAGGATAAAACTAATTCATGCACGAGTTATGTTGATAAGTGTATTTAAGTAAATAATTTGAATAATGTGTAAACCCAAGTTGTCAAGGTTGCATTAGTACTACATGAATAGGGTAGTCAGAGGGTTTAAGTGAATACTTGTTTATTGGAGCTTTAATAACGCTATCAAAATAGTGTCACACCAAAATAATAACATCAAGTATGGGAAAATAAATATTCTTGTTATAGGCATCATATAATTCAGACTGTACCATGTATTTGTCAGTTATTTTATGCACGCTGTGATAGATTGTATGTATCGTGACGGTGGTTTGAAAGTGGCTCTAGCTTTATAAACCTTATCAAATCCCCCACATACACATATTATGGTCCTTAAACTTTATTTGTGAGGCTGTGTTCCCCCACACTCCCCCTAGCCCACTGCGTTTTGGCTACAGAATAGTTCCACAGGTTGTCAGTAGCCCATTCCGTATCCTAAAATGATCTGCTCAATATCAATCTTGTTAATGCTATCCAAGAGCACTTTCAATCAAACCCTCTCTCTAGAGCACTTGAAATAATAACAGCTCTACAGTATGCAATCCACTCTTGTCCTGGTGGATGGTTTGGAAGTTTCAACTACAAGGTACAAGGTAAGAAATGTTAGTTGCCAGAAAAACCAAGGCTGTTAATATCTAAACCTGTACTTTAAACCTACTGAGATAAACTACAAAGACACTGTAGAATGTTTACACTATCCAGAGGTCTAAAGAGCTACTGCGCTAACACCTCTATCATTATTTTTAGTAACTAATTCCAACCAGTAGTAAGTGAAAAGTAGCTTTTTCCCTGCAGTGTAGGCCTGCAGTTAATAATGCTGTGATACCAATTCCTAAGAAGTTTGATGATGGCATAATTTGTAATAGCCAATCAGAGAAATTAGGTCAAAAATTCAGGAGGGGAAGGTGATGCTATATATTTTTTATTTCGCCTTGGATAATTTTTTTACTTTCATTCTTCTTCTCCTGTAGTCCCAGTTAGGCGGCCTAGGCCTAGTCTAGGCTGGCTTAACCGCATCATTTCTTCTTTTTTGGGTGGGTAGAGGATTTACAGCCTGCCTATACTGTACCTTGATTCACTACAATTTAGTCTAAATAGCATTCTTAGGAAACATCTCTCAATATGAAAAACCAAACCGCTAATGAGATGGTATCGTTTTCAACACGCTACCATGGCCCATGGGTGGCATCGAATACCTCCACGACCCATCATGTAGGCCTAACACACAATACAATTGAATAAACACAAGAAAAATCATCAAGGGTGGGCCGATTCGTCTGCCATGATTTGTTTGGTGATGAGATCTTCAATCTGCCTAAACTCAAACCAAAAAAGTAACTGCTAAAATTCATAAAAGACAATGAAACCAATACTTACATTTTATAAGAATGAAAAGAGTGTTTTCTCTTCTATGTATTTCCCACAGTCAAACAAAACAGCTCTCTGTTGTTGGATAAGTGTGTGACATCAGGCGTCGCGCTAAACTTTTAGATTAAGTTTCCGGAAGTCATTCGCGAATCAAGAATTCCAACCTCTTGCCTTTTATTATAGAGGGAGATAGACTTGTTAATGTTTTTGTCATGTCTTTTAATGCAACAAGGGAGTTGTTGCTGCTAACATAAAACAGAAAACGCAATTTTTCTTGGCAACCTAAAGAATTACTGTATTACATAAAATACATACTATTGACAAACCGATGAAGATAAAAATACAGTAGTAAAATTCGAGACCCAAACAAAATAAAAAATAAAACATTATATCTGACAGTACCAATAACACTCCTTTATTTAATGTTAAATGTGACCTGAACTCCTGGAAAAATAGAATTGAATTATACAGTAACAACTTTCGAAATATCAACAATGTCAAAGAAAATATGTTATATAATTACATTATGGAGGAACAAAAATATGAATTAACTAAATGGTGAATTCTATACTCCAGAGGGCGCTATAGCTGATGACGATCTGGCTATATCGTTAATTACGGTACAGTATTAAATTTGGTGTGCATGTGATACTGTAATAAGAACTACACTACAAATTTTATGTAGGTATATCAACTAAGTAAACCGCTATAAAGATAGAGATACTGTCTGTCTTGAGCAAATAAAATTCGAGACAATGTGTAATGATGGAATTGCTAATTGTATAAATTACGGTAAATTATTAGCCGTTCATAAAAAAAAAAACAAAAAAACAAGCAAATGTCTTCGTTGTTAAATAATTGAGTAATACCGTTTATTTTTTATATATTTCTTTTAGTTAATCCAGTTGTCAATTTTTTTGTAAGTAATTTTTTCATTTCTACTTACCGACATGACATGTAAAAGTAAAACTTTAATTACAAAATAATTGACAACTGGATAAACGAAAAGAAAATTTTCAGAAATATTCAATTGAATCCAGAATGAATACATTTCCTCTCATGTAATACGGTTCTTTGTAGACTCATTTTGTTCTTTCAAATCATTTTGTAAAAACAATTACCGTACTTAAATCGTTAAAACCTAAACTTTAAAAAGAACAGTAGAATAAAAATTAACAGTTACAATGCATGTAAATTCGTCTGCACTAACGATTCTGTAAATATTTTCTCGTGCCCTTGAGCGCAAATTTTGCCACTTAATTATTATTTAAAGGCGCATTCAAACGATCTGTCGATTATATAAATTGCAATATAAGTAATACTGTATTACATAATAGTTAATATTAACATAGTAAGCGATTGGCCTAGTCCTACCGGTTCACGAAAATTATAGTCAATTTGCCAAACCGTGGTTCGAAACACGCATGCCCATATAGAGATTAATCGACATAGACAAGCATACACACAATATAGGTTTATGTTAATTGACCTCGATTAACCATGGATGTGGGCTGCGCGGTCCGAACCACGATATTTCTGATTTATGTTGGTAAAAGAGCGTACTGCGTCCTTAATCATGCACATGTGGGCCATATCGCACACGACAAGACCAACGTCTTAAAATTCATCCGAATAACTGAAAGGATCTCAACGATTCAGTGCACACACAGTGGCCACTACCCGTTTAGTTATTAGCTTTTACATTGAACAGGAGATAATTGTTTCTGCCGATTACTACTGTTAACGTTCCTATAATTCCTTGGATACCCTTAAATTGAATCAAGATAAATTGAAAAAGAAAGTATGCAAGTCAGCGAAAACTATTTGGATCCTTGAACTGGTTAAAATATTTTAATTTATTCAAAACATTTCAATTTATTCAAAAATAACATCCAGACAAGTAGAAGCATACATTAAAAACACGTTCATACATTGGGAATAAAACATGGACTTGAATTATAAAATGTCAAATAATTTAAACACAACACAAGGTCACTAAACTTGCATCTACGAGCAAAAAGTTAAATGATAATCTTTCAATAAACGTACATACAATACAGTAATTTATATAAATACATGATCTTATTTTTTAAAATATAAAAATCTAATTCCATTTTAAGCAAGTCAATATTTTTGTTTGATTTCTTATAGACTTTTATCAAGACTTGAGTTCTCTCATGACATAATAATATTTAATAAGTGTATTCTCGTTTGCTGTTTTAATCACTTACACGTCCGATCCGATATAATTTGATTAAAAAACATAGAGCTTATTGAAATAGAAAACAATGTGTCCGCCTAGACTTTGTGTGTTCGGCGAAGCCAGAGTAGGCCTACTACTAAGCCATTTGAAAATTATAGACTTTCTTCAACCGGCCTATATGATCGAATTCAATTACCTCGTCATCGGTGAACTCTAGGCGTAAAACTATAGAATGTTACCAGTATGCTATGATTCAATGATACACGGAAATGATATTAGGCCTATCAATCATTATCTTCGTGACGTAGCATTAATATCTCATAATTAGTATCTTGGATAAATTGGAATGTTGGTTATAATGAGCGACCAATGACATTGTAGTGACGACAGGGTCAAAGAATTACATATGATTAAAGCAAGGAGGTATAATACCTCCTTGATTAAAGCTAGTAAAATTATGAAAATGTACTTTACTATATAAGAGCCTTGTGACGTAAGTTCTCAACTTGCGTGCACAGGATGCAGCTGTATATAGGCCTACTGCATGAATGGTCTAACAAAGTGTATTCTAGATTTTTGAAAGACCATGGACACCTAATGAGCTCCAGCCCTGTATTCCAGCCAAAAGTCAGTCACTGACAATTCGCACCTCCCTGTGTATGGACGGGCCTGTGCAGTTCGGTTTCCACAGAATCGCTCACCCTATCATCGACAATTGTCGGGAAGGTTGAACCTGGTTCAACTCTGCCGATTGCGTTGCACACGAAGCAGGCTGCATTGCTATCTGCCCTGACGCAATCGGGAAGGCACCCCGATTCGTCTGCAACGCAATCAGCAAAGTAAAAGCAGGTTCAACCTTCCCGTCAACTGTCGGCGGCTGTCGCCGATAGAGTGAGCGATTCTATGGTAACTGGGCTTTACTATTCATTAGTGTTTAGGCCTATGTTCTCGTCGTCTATGCTTGTTAGCAAGGAGTCTACTTCAGACTTCAATTATATTTTCACACGGTTTCCACTGCGTCACCTGCCAATTTTTCTTAGAAAAAAATCAAATCTAATTACATAAACTTGACTAACATTATAACGTTTTTTATTGGTCTATATAATTTATTTCATAGCTTTATAGACCTATATCATTTGTGAGGTGATTCGGTTGATTGTTTCCAATCGGTAAATTTCGGACCATTCGCTATTAAATGTGAACTGAAAGAAACATAAAAGTTTTGATCTATATGACATATAATTATATAATGGTATTTTTTATTCAAATTCAAAATTTACAAAAGCATAAAGGATGGCAGTCAAGGCTGAAATTAATTACGAATTATGTTACATTAAATAATTAAATTTTATAAAATTTGTTTAGATAAAAAATAAGAGAAAGCTACAAATTAAAAATAATTACCGGTACCATAGCAATCATTTGTTATTTCTATAATTACTATATAATTATAACTGATTGCTACAGTAATTATTATAATAAAACTTATTATAATTATTTCCGTTAAATAATTGAATGAATTCATCACATCAAAACCATTAAATTAAAGAATTACGAATTACGCTCAACATCAAAAACATCAAAAAGCATGAAACAGATCAGATGAAAAAAAATCTTGCAAACTGCATACATTAAAATAACAGAAAAAAAAAGGTTTAACAAATTCACACCAAAATACGAAATCACTGAACAGCTGATTTACCACTAGCACTAAACCCCGGGGGTTGGGGGGGGGGAAGAAAGATACAAATCGATAGAGTTAATTAAGTTAACAAGGTAAGGTAATAGACTGTTTTGATATCTTTTTGTTCTGCAACGAGGAATGAAGAATTTTAGTATTGGAGTTCATCCTTGGGGGAGGGAGCAAGGCGTGAAGTTTAGAATACGGATAAATAAGGGTTTTAGCAAAAATAACACAGAAATTATGTCGTCTATCACGAAGTTTGTCTAAGTGAAATTCAAATAAAATGCACCGTCATAAGATATGAATTTAGGTTCTTTTCACCTTTGATGGCTGAGGAAACTTTAGACCTACCGTTCCAATATAATATTTTGCCAAATGTTTTAACTTATGTCTACAGTACTTCATACGCCTATCAGGATCGACGGTGGAGAGTTGTGATGATATTTTACACGGCAGAAGATACTTGTGAAATAGGCTCTGAAATGTGTGTTGGTAGCTGCGTACAAGAAAGGATTCAGCAACGAGTTTGACCAGAGCAAAATATTAACTGCCTCCCATGTACTCTCGTTGTAGCACTGGTATGTGATATCCATAAGAAGGACAACATTGTAGGGCATCCAACATATAACGAAAACGCACACGAGTGACGTCAACATCACAAACGCCTTGCGATGGGAACTCCTCTGTTCGGAGCCACTATTCCTCACCAAAATTGGTTTTGTAGATGACGTCACAAGTTTTTTAGGTGTTGCACAGTATTGGATCACAGGATCTTGCATCAACGTTTCCATTGCATTATTATTGTCAATTAAGACTTTTTCAACTTGAATTTGTTCAAGACGCTCTGTGTTTTTGGGCACTGTTGTTTCTCCGTGTGTTGTAATTATTAAAAACGGATTACTAATCATAGACGGTGTGTTTAAATTACTTCCCTCGAGCAGTTCGTTTCTCTGCTGCACCTTTGTCGTAGAAATAGGCTTTGGTGATTTACGAATTGGAAAAACTCGATTCATACGGGACCGGCCTCGTATATTTACGTAAACAACACTGTTGAAATATACCAAAAATACCAATGGTATATAGAACTCGATACTAATTAGTACAATATCAAACGGTAAATAGCCTAACATTTCTAACTCGCAGTCTGAGCCTTCATGACCATCGTGATAAATATCGGTTGAATTATCAGGCGCAAGCAACGGCCACACGAAGGTAGAAAACGAATAAAATGTCAAAGAAAATACCCAACACGTGAGTGTCATAGCCAATGTCCTACGATTAGTTTGGAATGTTTTGTACTTTAATCCTTTCTTCACCAACCAATATCGATCTAGGCTTATCATGATAATCATAAAAACTGCTTGTAGGCACGCTGTGTAATCAATTATACTCCAGAGTTGACAAGTTAGCCATCCGAAAGGCCAGTATCCGTAATAAAGAGAAATGTTGTTAAGAGGCAGAGAAAATAACCCGACAAATAGATCGGCGATAGATAAATTCAAAATGAACGTATTTGCCGCTTTCGAGTGAATTTTCTCGTTAAAAATCCACGCAAGGATTACAAAAACGTTACCACAGATTGTAAGGAACGACATCAACCACAGAAACACAAACGCTGTCAGAGAAATATTCAGTGGAAAAATGTCATCGATCGACGATGGAGTCGCGTTTAATGTTTGAGCTTCCATTTTTACTTCTCGTTTCTTCTTCCCGATTGTAACCGGATGTTGATACGAACGATGTTGATTAGGCGTGTGTGCTCCGTTGAAAAGCAAAGAGGATCCAAATACTTGGAGTTTGATACCATGTAACGTACGCTGATGATGAGTATTAATCAATTAAGACTACTGACCAATAGATGACGTGGAACAAATTAGTCAGCCAGCCAAGACGTGTTACAATATGTCCATAAAAATAGTAGGCCTACTTAGACACAAAATCATTTTATACAAAATTCATAACCTCTTATGTTAGTCAATTACATGTATGAATGTATTTTTTTCAGATCCAGCATTATTTGATTGGTCCTTTTCTTAGCGCAACGGTCCATACCAGATAGTCTAATTCGGCTCAATTTGTTCAAGTGGCGATATAAAAAAAAATTAAATACACTTAATTATGCTTTAGGTTTATGCATATGAAAGGCATGAATAATTTAATCTGGATCCATAAATATAATTATCATAGACTTTTCTTTATCCAATATAATAAGAACCGATCCGTTCGCTTTCTCAAATAGACTTGCGAAAGCGAACGGATCGTTCGCGATACGTAGTGTGAGTACTAAAATCATATTGGGTTTTTTTTATATTGGATCAACAAAAAGAAAAGTCTATGATAGGCAAGAAATATATTTAAACGTTACTCTTACCATCAAACTACAAGACATCTATGCGAATTACATAAAAACAATAAAATATGAAATAAAAGAAACACAACCAATAAAATTCTGATGAATAAGAAACTATTTAAACGTTTAATAAACTAGATGACTTTGAAGACCATGTTAGATGTTTAGTTATTGGTTTCACTGCCCAAATGAAAATCCGTTACACTTGTTTTCATTCAAGAATCATTTGATGCTTATTTCGTTCAAATGGATGTAAAATGTTGCCATCGGCTACCCATAAGCTCACGTAGCCTAAAACTTCGCTCCATTGTGTGAGCCTTCAAGCTATATGAGGGGAGAGAGGTAAGTGGTCGCACGGGCCTCGGTGGTCTAAACGGTATGACGCTTGCCCAAATAGCGAGAGATTGCGGGTTCGATTCCCACCAGAGACCATAACAAAGAACTTTCGTTGATGAATACGTTTGATATAAATTATAACATTATGTTCCTATATATTTGAGCACTGTATTGTTATTTATATAATTTATACATTATTTGTGTTCCTAGAGCTAAGCCGCACAACTTGATTTGAATATATATATATATATATACTGTCTCTTATACACAATATATCTGGTCTCTTATACACATCTAGATGTGTATAAGAGACAGGTTCTTCCTCAGTGTGAGGACCCCTATTCCCATAAATTTTAAGATTTATGATAATTATTTTTCCCTATTATTGTTCATTTGTCTACAACTATATATTAGCATTACCGTTTGTAAATATTTAAATGTAAAAATAAGTTAAAATATGACCTCAACCTTTTACCTGATATATGGTATATTTTTCATTTGCATGTGAATATGAAGTCTTTATCCAAATATTGCATTTTCATATTAAATGTATTATGGTGCGGAGTGATGTCATACATAATTTTACACATGACAGTGATAACCTGAAATTCATATTGCATAACAATATGCCTATATGCAGAATTAAGTTATTACCTCGTAATAATTGACAAGGCCAAAATATTTCAACATATAAATTTCAACATGTTGAAATGAATGCTACCTTAAATTGGTTCTAATGGATTGATAGGCCTACATAAATAGGGTAATTGTATTGAAGCTTACGGAGGTGCCTTGAAAATCCGATTGGGTAAGCTAAACAATCAGATTTCTTAAGAAGACAACGATCAGAATATATAACCATAAGTCATTGTTGGCTTTAGATATATGCCAAAGTGAAATGGTAGGAGCGGTTTAGCGCAGCAGCAGGAGCGGTTCTGCTTCTCATCTTCGAAGTCGGAGGTCCAAACCATCGCGCTGTGCATTTCAATTGTGTGGCTGAGTCAAGGCACTTTACCTCACTCCACCCGGGGAGTACAAGTGGGTACCTGGTATGTTCAAACACAAAATGCGATGATTACAGCTGCAACATTATGGAATCATTATTATTATTATTATTATTATTATTATTATTATTATTATTATTATTATTATTATTATTATTATTATTATTATTATTATTATTATTATTATTGTTGTTATTATTATTATTATTATTATTATTATTAAATATTATTATTATTATTATTATTATTATTATTATTATTATTATTATAAATGGTTGCATGACCAGGTAATTTTGGCTCAATTCAATTTAATACTTAAAAAAATAAGACAGATAGCAGTAACACAGACCTTTGCATGTAGATTTTATTTAAAGCGCACATTAATAAGAAACGCAGATGCCGTCGAATATCAACTATGTTGTTATTATATTTATAATTAATGTAATTAGACTGCTTGTTACTTTCACAGATTAAATAAACAAAGCCAGCCAATTAATAGGTTTTTTACTTTTAAGATATTTTTCAAACGGTGAACTGTAAGCTTAGTTCAAACACAGAAAATTTACGATAGTCGGTTAACATATCTGTGTTGTGACGATTTGTACATAAATCGTGGTGATGTATTCCATGCATGGTTTCACATATTCATAATTAAATAATTTACTACCGCTGATCACCCAACCTTGTTAAAAATCTGTGCTGTCGAGCTTAATTGACATGTGGTTTTTAATGCCATACACCGGGAGGAGGATTGGAGGTGGGTGGGTGTGGGAGGTGGGGAGATGGATCCAACCCTAAAATCCTCATAATTATGTCATCGAAAGGAAAATAAGATAAATAATTAAGTCTCAATGATTGAAACAAGAAAAATAGATTGCACACGCTAAATTCTTGGCTCGGGCAAAAATCTCGATGATTTAGCAATAATATAATATAATATACAGTAATATATAAGGCGTATATAATAGGTGCGGCACTAGGTCTGTTCTTTTTGGGTGTTTTTTTTTTGTTGTTTTTCTTTGTTTTTTTGTTTTTTTTTTAATTAGGTTTAAAAGTACACGTTTTTTTGTTGTTGTTGTTTTTAAAAAAATTAGGTTTAAAAGTACACGGCATGCATTTCATTCCATTATACACAACTCAGCTAGGTTAATCCTTCTTTTCGCGTAAGTATAGCGAGACTACGCACTGCATCGCAACCAATCACCAAATGAAGAGCAGGATGTTGACATTTGCAAATTGCATAAAATACTAATAAGAGCATGAAGGTATATTAGGCCTTCAGAGCCAGTAGACTATATTGAGAGAGCAATTCGTCCGTACTAGTAATGTCAGCATACGACTTAGTCAGTGGCGTATCTTGAAGTCCTGAAATGGGAGGGCTGATGATCACAGTGCTGAGAGTGTCATTTCCGGCCATCCAGAGGCTGCTATTCTTAAAAAAAAATCTCATTTGAGAGAGGAACCCTCTCTCATCCCCTTCCTCCAACTCAGGCCTACGATCTCAAGCCCCTCCTCCCAGTCGGACAGAGCTCCTCCAGAAAATATATCTTAGAGCTGTCACTGAGCTAATGGCGGCAGTGTGGGGTGGGGGACGGGCTCATTAGGTGGGGGAATTACCTCGCAAAATGAGGTGATTTGAGTTGATTTTTAACCACTTGAACGTGACTTTTTTGGGGAATTGGGGGCGAATATTCGTTTGGGGGAGGGGAGCGCATAGAATTCCGCCCTGAAAGTAGGTCTTACTGAGCCAAATTATTGTTATTGAATTACGGTATAAAACTTTAAATCTCCACATAAAATCTGGCCAATCAGCGACAAACAGTTTGATTCAATTTCCTTCAACCATCATGATGGTTTGATTAAAGCTACCTCCATGATTAAAGCATAAAATTCATAGGCTAATAGTCTGTGGTGGCGAAATCTGAGTAAGCCTCTAAACATTCAATATACAACATTTAATTGCTCATTAAGAGAATCTAACAAGTTAATAGGAATTAATAGAGAAAACAGAATGTAATCTAATAAGTTAAAGAATCTAACTAACAGAGATAATAGAATCTAATAAGTTCGATCCAACGAGGCACAGATTTTGATAGACTATTTACTGACGTTTTACTACACTACCAGCCACTGTTATTATTCTTGGGTCTGGTGGGGGGGGGGTTATGGGATGCAGTATTATTTATACACTTCTATAAATGGCGAGAAGAGCAGAAAGAAGTCAATTACTTTTAATGGAATCTAACAACTTCCACATTGTAAACCATACATTGTTCGTCAGTTCAAAGACGTCAGTTTTCTTATTTGTTAGTTACTGGTCTTAATGAGAGTCTTCCAGATCCTTCAATTTCAGTTTATATATATTTGAAATACTTATTTGTAGGCATATACTTTTTTTTTTTTTTTTTTTTTTTTTTGTAGGATTGCATAAATCGTATGCCTATTGCGATTATTGTGATCGTGATTTCCGCAAACATGTATACCGCCCTCTTGACAATCATTAGTTACAGATTTCTGAAATCAGCTCAGCAGAATGCAGGGAAATTTAAAATCCAAACAGAGAGGATCTGTCATTTTACTTAACATTTTTTCTCCGTCTGTCTGTCAGTTTACTTTATCATCAGCATGGAGGCCAAAGAATGTGGTACGTTTATACCTTGATATTTAAAGATCTGTATGTTTACTTTTTTCGTGGATCCCTGGTCCTTCCACTCCACTGGAACTTATAAGTAAAGCCAGCACTGATTCAGTCTGTCACTCCGGCAAAGCGCCTTGTTTTTTATTGTCATAGTATGCACCCCTGTGATATCTAGCAATATAATCTGCCTACCCACGATGCCCATAACCAAGATTTGAGAGCCACCATGTCTAGAGGGAGAATATCCCTCGCCTTGAGATGAATTGAAGCATTCTAGCATGTATGGTAAATTTCAATGTTTTCATCATCATTTTTTCCGGTACGTAGTGAACTGTCAAATAAATACTGTAAGATCCACTCACATCACTTGTAATGCTTTTAGGCCTATGTGATTTGTATCCGAATTTTTGGCAGTGGCTATTGTTACACCAGTCTTCCTAATTCTAATTGGATGTTTTTGTCCTATCCAAATCATACATAAAGTAACGCAAGCATTCCAACCCAAGAACTTTTATGGTTATGTTACAGTTTGGTGTTAAAAATGTTATTTTAACCCACGGTAACTTACTTTCATAATGTTTGAAAATTCCTACAACGTTATTTTGTGACATCCAAACTACAGTGTTTGCAAATGTTATAAGAACTTAACTACAGATTGTGATAATGCTACTACATTGGTCCAAGTCAAGTTACAGTTTTAGTAGATCCAGGAATTCAAAATAGGGGCAGACATGGACTTTCACAGATGAAGGGTCTAGACCACATCAGCCTCACCGTGGTTGGGGCTGAGGTAAGAAAATTTATAACTATAGCACTCTCAGACTTAAATTTGAATGTAGTTTTCTTTTTTTTTTCGCTTCATTTTTTCATAATTTAATGAGAATTTAGGAAAGCCTGGGTCGGCTCCCCCATTCTTCCTTTAGTCTGCTTCTGATCTGGTTAATAAGCTTTTTTTAACACATTTAATTTTATTTTGCTGTACATAGTGATTACTTCTTTGAGACCCCCACCCCCTTCAGTATAAAAAAGAGGGAGAAAAATTGAAAAGAGCTAATAAAGG